TTCAACTAAATTAATAGTCTAATCTCTACTAAATAACAATAGTTTAATCTTCAATAATTATTGAAAATGTATAGTAAAAATACACAATTATTGAAAATATATTGATAATGAAAACACAACAAATAAAATGATTTAAAAAATATAACAAATACTAAAAATATATTAAATTAGTTAAGAAACAAATTAATCTCAAATAATAATTTAATCTCTAATAGATAATCAATAAATTATAATAAAAATACAATAAATACAATCAGTATAATAAATTAAATTTAAAAAGTTGAATAATGATAGTTGTAAAGGAGTAAACTACAAACTTGTAAAAACTAGATTCATAAACTACAAACTTGTAAAATTACAAAATCATAGAGCAAATCAGTCTTACAAGGAAGACTTGCAAAGCAAACTATTCTCGTAATAACAAATTGGCAAGCTAGAATAATCGAAGAATAAATTTGCAAATTGGATTCATGGAATCAATGTTGTAGCTTTGGCTTTGACTTCATGCGCTATCTGCATCGTCATATAGGTTTCGAGATTTGTAATTCGTTTTTCTAATTTGCAACCGGCTTAGGTCTAAGGTGGCGGTCATGGAAGAAAATTATACCAGTTTGTGAGATAACCTTGGTGGGGACCTGTCAAATCCAAGCCCATGGAGCAGGCTGAGATGGTTGGCCTGTGAGAGCTTTGTAGTCAGATTTGCATGAGAAACATCCTAAGTTGTCCCCAATCTAAACCTTGCTATCATGTATCATCAGCTTCTGGATGAATACCCAAAAAAGAAGAGTTTGGGGCTGAGAGACGAAAATCTAGAGATAAGCGTTGGATCCATTGGGGAGACTGAGGATAAAGAAAGAATTGGAAACAACAATAAAGAATGAAGAAAATCAAAACAGAATATAAGAACATATCAACCTAAAATGCAAGTGTTAGATAATGAAAAATGACCAAAAGGGTTAGAACATTACCTTGTTGAAGTAATATAACTACCGATGTTGGTACAGAGCTTCCCCAATCGGTGGAAACAAGTTTTCCCTTCTCTCAGTCGATCGACTTACATCTCCATGGAGAATTCCCAAACGAGTAATGGTAGTACGAAGCTTTCCTAAGTCGTACAATGTTGGTATGCCATCAATTTCTCGGTCAATTTATTCTTGTGCTCTCAGTCGAACAACGCTGGTACGGGTGGAACAGTGGGATAATCGATCTCTTCTTGCATTCTCCCTTCTTCTTGTACCAAACCTTTTTGGTTGAGGAAACCGCTTGGCTTGTCGAGCACAAGCAATAGTAGAATGCGAACGCGGGATTTTTTTGGCTTTTCGAAAAATTTTGCACTTACCCTCTCTCTCTCTCTCTCTCTCTCTATCGATTAATTACTGTTAGACCGGTTTAAATCCGGTTCAAGAATAAAAATTGCCATCTCTGTTCCCAAAAACCGTCGCTCAAGTTGTACTTTTGGTTGTAAGCAGCGGTTTCACGGGGAACGTCAGCTTAGTTTTCACTATAGCGGCGGTTGTTAAGACCGCCTGCTTTAAACCGCCGGCTTTGCTAATTTTTCTCCTAGTGAAGTAACGAGTTGTGCTCGTCTTCAACTACAAACGATCAGATTTAAGCTAGAGACTAATGTAAGATAATGAATTTATGGAACTGATTGATCCAACATGGATCCAGACCAAGTTAGTCAAGTTCAATCCAGTTTATAAGATGATATACTAAGCTAGGCTTTAACAAGAGATTGATATATAGTTGGCCATTTGGGCTGATATTGATATCACTTCTAAAGAATGTTCAACTGAAAATATTATAGGGGCCCATGCCTACATAGGCCCCACTTGATATCACTTTCCAAGTGTTTAAGCAATTGACCATACTTCTCAAATTCTGCTCTCATCGCATCTAACTACTCTATAATCTATTTTTCTTCACCAATCCCCTTGTTGTCTTTTGGAATGGTGATTACATTTGCATTTCCACCCTTCTTATATTATTTTAGAATCATACAAATTTAAGCTATGTAATTTCTAGCAAGTCCCCCTAATTTATTCCAATTAAGTTCTTTCAATAATCACATACATTTAAGGGTGTCAATGGACTGGGTTTGGACTGGACCCCATCCACTCCAAAATCAATTTGGACGGATTGGATGGACCAAAAAGACATAGTGGATTGGACCAATCCAGTCCAAAATATTTATTAGATTGGACTGGACCTGGTCCATCCATAATAAATTTATATTGGATTAAGCCAATATTCGGTCCATTGATATAGATAGGAATATAGGTGTCAATGGACCAGGTTTGGGTTACAATCAATCTAAATTAAAATGAATTTGAACAAATTGAACGGTCTAAACATTGAATTGGACCAATCCAAAATGGTCCAAATTATTCATTAGATTGGATTGGACCTGATCCATTTGTAATAATGGACTCACATTGGACTAGATCGGGTTGGACCAAATCCAGTCCAATCGACACCCCTACATATATTCACTTTTTTTCTCCTCAATAGCCTATGATTTCACTCCATCATGTGCATAATGATTTGAAACCATTCGCTACATGTGTACCTATCTCTACTCTCTTCACTACTAAACAAGGCATAGGTTAAAGATATTATATTCTAAAATTGAGTCTCATTAAGAATTCAAATGCTTCATTCCTTTCCATAAGCTCCTCTGTGTATCAACATCATTGTTGATTTTCGTACAATTGTGTCTCCAATAGGATTAATATTGGAGACATATAAGAAAGAGAGAGGCACGTAAATAGGGAAAACTCATACAATCATGTTATCTTGCAAGCGAGAGAAATAGAGAATTTTTTTGACTTTGAAAATATGTTAAACTTAACTTTCAATCTGAACGATTCGGTTGGAATGGAAAGAAAAGGATCCGTGCAATGGATTATGAAAATATATACAAAGAGAAGATGTGGGTGCAATGTAAAAATATATACAAAGAAAAGAAAAAGGATGTTGAAAAATGGGGTCATTGAAACTTTGGATGAGAAGCTCTGGGGCGCGTCTGAAGACATTGTCTTTAAAATATTATTTACCCCTACTCAGTTTCACTGAATTTGCTATTGRGTTACAGGCAAATTTGTTCCTATGATACAACAGAGCCTTGGGTGAGAATCTGCAACCAGCAGAGTTGAAGAGTCTTCGAAGAAACCTTCTGTGAGACTGTAGTAGACCGGACAGAGAGAGAGAGAGAAAATGAATTTCGAAAATATGTGTTTGAGAAGTATGATTCATGCTCCTTAAATAGTTTATGAATTAGTATGAAGAAAAGGTAGGTGTTGGTTTAGAGAAGGCACCTTGAACAGTCACAATTTCAAACATTGTGGTTGTTTAAAAGGTAATTAATAATTAATGACCATTAATTTTGAATTGTACCTCTTGATCACACTTGATCAAATCGTGATCATCGATCTCATCAACTGCGATCAACGGTCAGCATCGCACCAAAACAAAGATGCACGCACACGCGTGCACGCGCGTTATGCGGTATCAAACCTCCATACTCTCCTCTACTATTTCTAAAGAGTGTAAATCAACTCTTATTAAAATACTGAAAACAAAGCATATAATTTTCCAATGTGGGACAGTTCAAGACTGTATTTCGTAAGGGAAAATCTAATTTTTCCAAACAAGTGTGTAGGTGCAATTTCTCATGTAATTAACCAATCAAACACATTGGATTTAACTCTTATAAGATATCCAACAATCCCCCACATTGATTGATCAATTACATAGTTCTCCCTCAATCCAAACTATATGACACGGTTATGCATACAAAAGGTGTTTATCAAGTTAAACCTTTTGTTATTATAAATATCTCAGAGCCTTGTCAAAGTTATTGGTGGTAAAACTTTAAACCAATTACTTTCAAGACAGACCGGAGATACCTATACACACAAAGATGTCCACTCTCTGCAAGAGTGGAAAATCTTGCTCAACACTGTTATGGCCATATGCTTCTTTTTTGGTTTCATGAACAATCTAAAGATGCAAACTCGAACTCTCATGAGAAGCGGCATCATTTCTATATTCACATAGATGAAATTCCACTATGTGTTCTGTTATTTGACACATTTCAGAACTTCATTAAGAGTTTAACTCAACCTCTCATCATAACGGACATTATTGTTTATGTTATGATGGAAAATTTCTCAATGTCAATGTTAACAGTCACCTTGTTGTAACTTGTTGTTACCCTTTAAACTCAATACTGATGGTTTTTCAATTCAGGTCAGGTTACCATTACAAGTGACTAAGTAAAGGATTTTAATCACTACAAGAAAATTGACCTATAGCTACGGACAAAACCATAGTTATAAATACCAAAAACCGTAACTATAGGGGAATAGATACGGACTAGCTACGATAAAAAAACCGTAGGTACTATTGGGGTGGCTATAGGCAATAGCTACGAATGCTAGAATCCGTAGCTATAGCTAACCTATAGCTACGGTCTACGCCCGTGGCTAAAGCCTGAATTCATAACGATATGTCTTTTTAGTTAGGACTTTTAATTTGTTCGTAATTAAAAACTTGAATTTATAACTACGATTTATTCTGTAACCGTAGCTAAATGTCACTATATAGCGTGTGCCATATGCAGCTATAATATGTGGATCTATACCTACGATTTTTTGTTGACCGTAGCTAAAAATATGAACCTATACCTGCAATGATTTAGTTTGACCATAGCTAAAAATATGAACTTATAGCTACGTAATTTCACCGTAGCTAAAAATATGAAGCTATAGCTATGGTAATTTGACCATAGATAAAAATATGAACCTATAGCTATGGTAATTTGATCGTAGATGAAAAAATAAACCTGTGGCTACGGATTTAAGTTATCCGAAACTAAAAAATTAAAAGCTATAGTCACAGTTTAAGCAACTTGTAGGTAAAAACATGAATCTATAGCTACCGCTTTTATTTCATTCATAATATAAGATCGAGCTTGAACACAAAATTCCAATAAAAGATTAAATAATTAAAAATTGAATTGAATCTCAAGGTGCTTTAATACATTTATGTGTTTAAAATCTATTACAATTTTAGCAAAGTTCTTGAATACATGACACTCAATCCAAAAGAAAAACTTGACGTATAAAATTTAATCAAATTTGTCTCCATCCGCACATGTAAAGTATCTCCTTTAGCATGTTCAACCTATATGAAAATAATAGAAAATAAGTTAGATATCATATTTATGAAGATATAAAATAATGTGTGAAATCTAATTAACCATGCAATATAAATAAAAGAATACAATAACTTAGGCCCCATACAACCAAGAGATCCTTAAGGAAAGCATGTGCCGTGCATGCAAGGTGGGTCACTCTTGCATGTAGGATTAATACTCTTTAGTTTTCCTATTTCTTTCTCTTTTCCTACATATTTATTCTAGCTAGTGGAGGGTTCCCCCAGAGGATATATATTTTGGAACTTAGGCCTTTCAAGTATATCTAGAAGAACAAATATCCATTTCATTGGTAGAAGATAAGAATAGGCGTCAATGGACCAGGTTTGGGTTGGAACCAATCTAAATTAAAACCAATTTGAACAGATTGGGTGGTTCAAAATTCTGAGCAACAACTGATTAAGGATGACAAAAATCCGAGAGGAAAAGTTAGAAGCAAGATGCCCACTAAGGAAGAGGAAGAACTTAGGATCAGAATTGTCCATGAAACACCTTTATGAACAATTAGCTCTATGATACAAAACCAATCAGACATAGATACAAAAACATCAATCAAGTTTAACAAATTCGTAGTTAATAACATAATATGAAATGTGTCATGTAGTTGTTTCCAAAATCAATCACTTGAAGATCTCAAGAATCTAGTCTAGAACAACATCAATCATATGAAACCAGACCTTACTATCAAATCTTTTACATGTCTCATTTACAAGATTTTTTTTTTCGACAAAGTTCCCATTACAAGTTATGTTCCTTTAACTTTTAATTGATCTCTGTATCCCATGTTGTTAGGCATCTCTTATGAAGAGACTAGAATAAACTATCCCCAAATAACTTCTCCCCAACACAAGATAGACCTCATCACCCCTCCCCTGAATCATATGTCCATTCTTGAAGCCAGGAGTCTCAAGCTCCAATAGCCTTCTTTTATTCATCATTAACCAATTCAACCCCCCAATCCCCCCAACCCCCACAAAAGAAAAATGAAAACTTATTATAAATCACTGAAATGCTTGTTTTCTTTTTATGTCACTTCAATCCAATAAAGAAACATTAGTACTTATATTCTTAGCATCATCATAGCCATGACCCATGACTTCACCATGTTATTCTAAATTAACCACCTATTGGTAGGGGTGGCAACAAGCCAAGCTTTTCACGAGCTGCTCAAGCCTACTAGAGCCACCCACTCCAATACAGTGGCTCGATTATTAAATGAGCCGAGCTCGAGCCTACTAGAGCTCGACTCGTGAGGCTCGCGAGCCGGCTCAAATATATATATTTGATATTTCATATATATAATATATATAATAAAAATATTATAATTATTAATTATTATAATTCTTAATTTTAAAATATAAAATATTTTTTTATATATATAATTTTTATTTTTATAAAATATTTTTTCTCAAAATCGAGCTCGAGCTTATGCATTTTTTACTCGAGCCGAGCTCGAGATCAAGGTTCTGACTCGAACCAAGCTCGAGCCTGGTACTATTCGGCTCGGCTCGGCTCGGCTCGAATCCATCCCTACCTATTAGTGAAGGAGTTATGTTCCCAGGTGCACAATTGTCAAATTTTAGATTCGTAACTCCCTGTTGTGCATGCTAGCCAAGAGGACCTAGTTGGTGCACACTCCTATATTCTTTTCTATCATGCATTTCCTTTATGAGGCTCTCATGGTCAGGACCAACATTGGTTAATGGCTCTTTTTCTTCATCCTTTCATGTACAATACTCTTTTTTCTATATTTAATACAATATATCAGTTCACCCCAAATATATGAAGGAAGAAAAGAAAAGGGTGAGATTTAAACCGATCATCAGATTTGTTTTTTATTAGACAATTTGCTTCTAAACTCAGAATAACCCTCTAATAAGGGGGGTATGTATAGGAGGGTGCAATACAGTTAAAGAAGTATGACTAGACAGAATAACCCTCTAATGAAAATATGGCTAAATATTACAACTCTATAAGAAAAAATAAACTCCTAAGCATATAGTTTTAAAATATTAGAAATTTCTTTTCCCCTGGTTTGAAGAAGGTATAAATTAGTATGACTGAAACAAGTATAGATCAGAACCCATGTATAATGAGGCTTTGTAAAAAAAAAAAAAAAAAGTAGACTGTAAATCAAGTAATAGATTGTACTAAAAAACATGGATGCATAGAGAACTTCTCTGACTTTTTTTTTTGTAGTAACAACTATAATCTAAGTGACTTGAAAGCTCTCTGCTGAAATATGCTCAGAATTTCATCAAACATATCTTAATTTCAAGACATATCGGTCAAGTCCAATCATAAATATATTTTCTCTTCAGAAAGACAATATGTAGGGGTGATCATTTCTAATCGGGCCTGGTCCAACCCACAAATTTCCAATCTTGGGCCTGGGTTTTGTGTTCAGACCTGGATTGAGACTAGCCCAGCCCCACCCAAGAACCCAATTAATTGGGATCAATCTATAATTTGACCTTTCCATCAATCAGCAAAAGGTGTGGGGGCACTCACAAATGGGAAACTAGGAGAACATTGGAAAATATCTAAACTAGAAATATCAAGACAACTCAATCCACAATTACTAGTGGTTGAAATCATCTGAACAGAATTGAATTTTAGGAACTATATATGCAATTTCTTCAGCAATGCAATGGAAAATGAGGCTAGAAATGAACCATGAACATTAGTCAAGTGTGAACAATAATGTTCACACTAATTTAAGATAAAGATGCAATGAGGGACGTTTAGAAAATTAATCCATATACTAATTTACTCTTCAAAAATTCAAGTGTAAGTATCTTTTAGGATTTCTGCACATGTATCTAATAAATTTAATCATTGGACATTAGTCAGCTTTCCGTACATGTATCTAATAAATGTAATTACTGGACATAAATCAGCAATTCAAAGTGCCATAAGCTTTGTTGGTCCTTTGGTTCTCAAGAAGAGACAAGTTCCTTTCCTAATTCCACTATGTCCCTAGTCCTCCTACCTCCTGACGCATATGACCAATAATTCTAAAAGATCCATACTAATGTAGATCAGCCATCTATTTATAACCAATGGTCATGATTGTATCAAAAAACATCTCTTTGGTATTTTTCCAAACACTTACCTTGCATCTTCAATATCTGTTATTGGAAGATAACCCAATAAGTGAAGAACCAACAAATCATTTTGTATTTAACCTGAACTTGAATCATCTGCATGAACTCCTCTTCCCAATTCAAATTCCCGATTCTATATAACTCTTCAAATTAAATGTATGTATTGTTACTTCAGATATGGATTTCCAAGTTTCAATTAATGTATCAATTACTTTATCAACAACAAGGGATTGAATTCTTGATTCAGGAGTTTTTGTACCAAGAAAATTTCCGTTCCAAGTTGTCCATAAGTAATAAAGCTAAATACAAAGCTTATTTGAATCATTCAAGTGAATTGGCAATGATGGCTAGAGACTAAGTTGCAGTATTTTAGAGAGAGAGAGAGAGAGAGAGAAGGATTCTTACCTTGAGAGTTGAGACTGCTGTCAATCGGTCTTTAGTTGGGCTCTATTCTTCAATTTTGGAACGCAAAGTTTCTTGGCTACAGCACCTTAGCATAATCAATCACTTTAACTAGTAGATCAGTGGAACTACTGGAAAAGTCAACAAGGGTTCCTTGTTTAAAGGTACAGAAAGTAGAATAAAAGAAAAGTCGAAGAGGTTTCGGGAGGGGATGAGGAAAAGAAAAACATGATGGGCATGAATAGAGGGTTTCTGGGGTGAAGTAAGAAAATTTAAAATCTACCTTGGGCGGGGATAGGCATAAACAAAAAACCTGTGCACAAGCCCATTTGTAGGCTTCGCTGAGTTTGAGTTTTCGAGTCAAGAACCCCTAGTAGCCTAGTAGGGATGATGATGAGCTAGGTTTTAACAAGGTAGTAATGATGTTTATGGCTTCCCAGGCCCAACATGGGTGCGGGTCGGGCATTCGGGCTTAGTTGTATTAGAAAGCCTTAATTAATTAGCAAAATGTTTATAATTAATACAAAATATTATTATTTAATTATTTCTTATTAAAAAATAATTAAAATAATATGTAACATTTAATTAATTAGAAGTTATTATTGGGGTTAATTTACCCCTACTAATGGTTTTCAGATCAGGCAACCCTAGTAGAGATGATCATCATGAGCCAAGTTTTTACAAAGTATCAATGATGTTTATGGCTGCCCAAGCCCAACTAGGGTGTTGGTCAGGCATTCATGATTAGTTGTGTATATAAAGAAGCCCTTATTAATAAAATAATTAATTAATTAAAGGGTATTAAAAAGTCTATGTCAGGACCCAACTCGGCCTAAGTTCTAAGCCTAAAACATAAGTCGGGGCCAAGCCTTACACATGCTCGTGCCTAATTGATTAAGTCTTTTATGTATAATTTATATTAAATATGATATATAATATGCATATAATTAAATTTATTTTATACATTATATAATAATATAAATGTCACATATATAACACATATTATTATATTTATATATGATATATAATATAATATAAAATAACATATATAACATGTATACATTATGTACAAAATATATACATATATTTAAATATATGCAAGTTAGGCTTGGCCTAGGATCAAACAAATTAATGGTTCAACCATTATGGTCAACATTTTTTTAACTATTTGCGGGGTTTAAAATCATGCCATCTATGACTCGGGATCAATTTGGTTAACGTTGTGTGTAGGGATACAAGTTGGTTTTCTAGTTAGGTTTAAGCTTACCTGGCCAAAGTTGGAGCCCTAGTAAGAACTTATTTACTAAGTTATTTTAACTAGTATTCTACATTTTAATTATTATTTTATTATTTCATTCTAAAATATGTGTTAATTGTTATTATTAGTTAACAATTAATAATAATTATTTGCTATTTAACTAATTTAATCAATGATTATAAATTTGGCCATTATATAGTTGGAGCCCTAGTCATGTCCTTCTTTTGTATATTCGTTCTTTTAATTATTATTAATTAGTAATCATTAATTATTATTATTACTATATTCATTAATAATTAACTATTAATATTTATTATTTATTAATTATTTTTAAGTTTTTCATCCATTAATTATTAATTATCGTTATAGCTATGGTCTATGGATAATTAAAATTCATGTAGCTACAATTATATATAACTTTTAACCACAAATAAATAATTGTAGTTAAAGGTTAATTATAATTTATATAGCCACAGATAATTTAAATCTATGGCTATAACCATGAATAATTTTTAAGCATGACCAAGTGTTTTTAAGCCACGGACAAACTACCCGTAGCGAAAGATCAACTTTTAGCTTCTATGACTTCTAGCCACGGATTTAATTAAACGTGGTTATAAATATCCATTAGCCACGGATAAAGTGAGACTTAGCTATTGATGAAATGGCTGTAGCTAAAGATCAGTGTTTAGCTACGGGCATTGATTGTCCGTGGCTATATCCCATGCTTTATCCACAAATTTTTGTGTCCGTAGCTACATTGCAGTAGCTATAGACCTATTTTCTTGTAGTGAATCCTATCTCTTTGGTTATCATTTTTACCAATTCTTTGGCCAAGCCCTTGGTAAGAGGATCAACCAAGTTTTTAGTTGACCTCACATAGGTTATAATGATGATAACATCTTGAATCAATTGCCTAACAAATTCATGTCTCAAACTTATATGTCTGGATTTACCATTGTAGGCTCTTGACAGAATCGTCTCATTATCACAGTAAATGGAAATTGTAGGCATAGGACTAGGCCAAAGTTTTATATCCAATAATAAATTCCTAGTCCATTCAGCATCTTTTTCAACAGCCGCCAATGCTATGAATTCAGATTACATGGTTGAGTGAGATATACAAGTTTCCAAGAGATCGCACCCCACCAAAGACCAAAATCTATCTAGAGGTGGACTTGTTATCTCCATTACCGGTAATCCAACTTGCATCAATGTATCATTCTATTATAACTAGATAATTACAATAAAACAAGCCAAGTTCCAAGATTCTCTTGAGATACCCAAGAAGTCTCTCAATTGCCCTCCAGTGCTCTGCACTGAGATTACTTGTAAACCGGCTGAGTTAACTTACTGCAAATGCAATATCAGGTCTAATACAAAGCATAACATACATCAAACTTCTTACTACACTAGCATACTCAACTTGTGCAATTGCTCTACTAGTATTTTCTACTAGCTTTATACTAGAATCATATGGCGTGTTATATTCTTTAAATCCTAAATGCTTAAATTTCTGAAGTACTTTCTCAATATAATGTGATTGGCTTAATGCATAACCCCTACTATGCTTTTTAACTTTTATTCCCAAGATGGTATCTACTTCTCCTAAATCTTTCATCTTAAAGACAGAGGATAAGTAGTTTTTAGTTTCATTTATGTCAACCATATTTATACCCACAATAAGTATATCATCAACAAAAAAACATACAATTACACTATAATTTTCAGTGAATTTTGAGTAGATGCATCTATCAGCACTATTATGTTTAAAACCAAAAGCTAGAATGCAAGAATCGAATTTCTCATGCCATTGTTTAAGTGATTGTCTTAATCCATATAGTGATTTAATTAGTTTACAGACTTTATTCTCATTTGCAGGAAGAACAAATCCTTCTATTTGTTCCATATAAACCTCTTCATTTAAATCACCATTTAAGAAAGCAATTTTAACATCCATTTGATGCTAATGCTATGAGTGTTCTAATAGAAGTTGTTCTAGCCACTGATGCATAGGTGTCAAAGTAATCAATCCCTTCCTTTTGACTAAATCATTTGGCTACCAATTTAGCCTTAAAAGTTTATACAGTACCATCAGTGTTGTATTTTCTTCTAAACACTCATTTACATTTGATTGGTTTTGATCCTRGAGGCAGGTTTGCTAGTACCCATCTATTATTTGATCTTATTGAATCCATTTCATCATTTACAGAATTCCTTCCAAAAGGCAGCATCTCTAGAGGTCATGGCCTCACTATAGGTTTTTGGATCATTTTCAATGTTCAGGACCATGGGTATCTTATTTAAAATCTTCTCTCTATCAGCTACAACAAAAAATACAATTGACTGAGTAAAGATAAAATCTGAACCTAAGTATTTCTCTGTTCTTTGTCTTTGACTTTTTCTATGTTCTATTGTAAGTGTTACAGTTGTGTCATTTCTTCTTTCGGTCTCATTATTATCAATAGGTATTGAGATCTGAGTTTCTCTTTCAGGTTCTTTGTCATTTCCTGTGGATTCATTTTTTGTAGATTTAGAACATAGTTTATTTTCAAAGAATTCAACATCTCTAGTTTCAATTATTATGTTGGACTCTAAGTGTAGAAGCCTATAAGCCTTGCTATATTCTGCATATCCAACAAACATACTTCTCTTAGCTCTGAGTCCTAACTTGGTTCTTTTAGGATTTGTAACTCTATAATATGCTAAGCACCCCCACACTTTTAGATATGCTAAATTAGGTTTCCTTCATGTCCATAATTCATATGGGCATTTGTTATTAACTTTAGAAATAATTCAATTATGTAAATGGCAGGCTATTAGGAGTGTTTCCCCCCACATGTTTAAGGGTGCATTAGATTTTAACAACATGCAGTTTATCATTTCTGTAAGTGTTCTATTTTTCCTTTCGAACAGTCTATTCTATTGAGGGGTACTGGTAGTAGAACACTAATGTATTATTCCAAATTCTTCATAGAAAGAATTAAACTCATTTTTAAAGTATTCAACACCCCTATCACTTCCAAGGATTTTAATTTTCTTTTGTAGTTGTTTTCAACTTCAGTCTTGTACAGTTTAAACATGTTGAAGGCTTCATCCTTAGTTCTCATAAGGTAGACATAGGTGTACCTAGAAAAGTCATCTATAAGCAGAAACTTTTCCTTCATTAATACTTAATTTGAACATACCATTACAACCATATCCCTTTCTAACAAACATCTCATTCTTAGATATGTTTAGTTTGTTGGATTAAAAAACAACTTTGAATCCCCTCTTACAGACAATGTTTACTGACACCAAGTTCTTTCTAATGTCAGGAACATGGAGAACATTCAGGAGAGTTAGTGTCTTTCTAGAGGTGAAGCTCAATTCCATGTTGCCTCTTCCAACAACTTTGATACATGTTTGGTTTCCCATCTGTACCTCCTAGCCATCAATCACTTCTTCATATGTCTTGAATAAGGACTTGTCCTTGCAAACATGGATTGTAGCGCCTGAATCAAACCACCATTCAGAAAACGATTCTGTCATATTTACTTCAGTAATCATGGCCACCACATTGTCTTCTACCATGTTTGCGGACTTCTTCCACCTTTCTAATGTCGGCAGACTCGAGCATAATGCCCCTTCTTTCCACAAACATAGCAGGATATCTTCTTGTTATTGCTCTTCTTGAAATTCCCGTCCTTCTTCTTTATTTGTAATGCGGGATTAGTCTTCTTCGATCAATTTTCCACAAAATTTACCTTAGAGTTCAGCATACCGGCCAAGGTCTTATCCCTACTGTCTCTAATTCGAGACTCTTCTTCAATACAAAAGTGTTGTTGAATTTGCTCCAAGGTAAGTTCTTCAACCTTATGCAGAAGCTTCTTCCTATAATCCTTCCAAGAGAGTAGTAGTTTGAAAATAATTGCTCCCACTTGGAAGGATTCAGGAAGGATGATATCAAGGGATCGAATTTTGTTGACTATCACATGTAGTTCATGAAGTTGCTCCAGTATGGGTTTATGGTCGTTCATGGTAAAATCAAAGTATTATGCGATAAGATACTTATTTGTACCTGCTTTTTGCACCTTGTATTTGAATCCAGAGCCTTCCAGATTTCTTTTGGGATTGTAAGTTC